TGACAAAGAATTGATCATAGCCATTCATTTTCAACACTTTCCATTTGGGTTTAAGCATTTACGATTATGACATAGTTTAGATGATTGACAACTCATTTCCTGCAAGTTTTTCTTATAATTTTTCCATGTATGTATCACTAATATTAATTGAATAATGATACGTACATTATCATTAATATTAAATTACTTTTAGTATTTGTGTTGTTAGTAAAATTACTGCTTTACCCCCTTTTTTCTCAACTAACAACTTCCTCTCCGTTATAATCTCTGGAAATTTTTGTTTTCTATTCTTAATACATGTGAGTTCATATTTATAACTTGTTCGATTCAACTACAACAAGATTTCTTATATTCTTCATATGCAAAGTTATCTGTTCACAAAGTTTTCTCCATCTATCATTAATTAGGGTTCAGAGAGGATGTTCATCTAAAAATAGGTAGATTAATTCTTTATAATTGGTGTACTATTGAACTAAGGGATCTTCGAACTTTAATGGACGGTGGAGATCTATTATTTGAACTAAGAGATCGGCAGCAACTAGGGGTAAAATTATTTTTGACTATGGGTTTCTTATAGGCTCAGGAGCAATTAAAAAAATAGTAGAAAAATTCCAGGATTAGTAATATCCACGGAGGGCTTGCATGTGCGGCGGATGACATGACCAAGTGAAAATAAGAAATTTATTGGCCGTAGTTGTAGACTATATGATTATGTTTCCAATTTCCGATTGTGAGGAATTTGTTTTTTTTTTTTTAAGGAAAAAAATTCCTTTTTTCTAAGGTTGTAAACGAATTGAGCCGCTCGCGAGTTATTCGCGAGCTGACTCGGTCAAAACTCGGCTTGAGTTCAAGATTGACCGAGCTCGAGCCGAGCTTGAGCTAGTTTCTAAAGAATACTAGCCGAGTTCAAGTTTAAACAATACTCACTCGTTGGCTCGTCAAGCTAAACGGGCCAGTCTTTTCTAAAAAAAAATTAAAAAATATATATTAAACATATATATAATATTATATATAAAATAAAAAATAATATATATTTATTTTGAGTTACGAGTCGAGTTCGAGCTTCTTGTTAAGAGACCGAGCCGAGCTCGAGCTCAAAGAAGTTAGGCTCGTTCAAGCTCGAGCCGAGGTCGAGTTAGGTTAGAAATTGCTCGAGTTGTGCTCGAGCATGGGTAAACTCGGGCTCGACTCGACTCGTTTACACCCTTACCTTATTCTCCCTTCTTTTTCTTTGATATACTAGTGTTGCACCTGTGCGGTGCACGGTGAGATATCGCGTTTAACATTTGAATGGACATAAACAGCTTGAAAATGACTCAACATAAGTTGCATTAATTCTTTCGGTTGAGTTTCTGATGAGCCGTCAACCTTTTGCCGTTTGGTGATCTAGTTACGACTCTGCCTTTTGGATGCCCAGCTGTGAAAAAGACGAGAATTGTGATTCCCTTCTAGAGTCCACAATATGGTGGCCCGTTGTTTCCAATAGGTTTCCTGAAACTCAAGTAGGCAATCCAATTCTTAAATCAATTTTGTTCAATCAAAAGAATGATGACATTGCCTGAACTCATAAATCATAAGGAATAATAAAGTATGCGATGAGATATATAATATAGAACTAATCTAAAATATAAAATAAATTACCGCCAAATGTTTTCATTATGAAGAGATGACTAATATCACATTCAGGGTAATCATCCATAAATAGTTCTGGTTCTTGATTTGTTTACCTTCAGCGAGAACATATAACTACCATCCATGATAATATCGCTAACACTTTTGATAGAGAATAACAATATAATAGAGAGTAAAAATATGTTTTTAGCACAAAATAGGTCGTGATGATTTTTTATGCTATAACAATAGCAGTTTCGATCTTTTACCCTTTTGCTCTCTTCAACTTTCCACTTAAGGCGGATTATTTTATTTTCAATAAAATCTATCACTTCTGGTGATTAGAAATATTTTTTGTATCATTACTAATTCTCAAATATATTTGGGACTTCAATTTGTCCACTATTAAATTTCTGATAATTGCACTCACTTCAGGAAATGCAGTAGTCTAATTTGGACAAGTCTAATAATTTTTCAACAAGAAAAACTCAATAGTTTATTTAATGGTAACAAGAAAACAAATTGCTACATCAGGAGCACTTCCTTAATTTTCTTTGTCACTAATCTTCCACTTGAAAAATTATATTTTATATGTGATCTTCGTATTGTTATATAAAATTTACTATTTGCAACTTGACTCGCAAAAGTAATTCTTCACTTACTTCAAGAAGTGAGAAATTATCAAATCAAGGGGTCTCGTGATTTTCCTTAACAAAAAATAATAAACTGCTACTTCAGGAGAAATTCAACGTTATACTTATGAATCCAAAAATCTCGTGAATGTAAATTCATCCAATTATTGAAAATGTTTAAAAAATAGTTATCACTAATTTCCAACTTCTGGTGGTTCGTGATGTTCTTGTCTTGACTGACAGGCTCAATTATTATTATCTGTGATATTCTCATAATTTGTCTTAACTGACAGACTCAATCATTATCAACTGTGTTTATTCATATTTACCACTTCAAGTGATCAGTTTACATAACTATGATATTGAACATATTCAAATTCACTTACTTCAGGAAGTGAATAAAATGTCTTTGAATATTTTCATGAAATTGCTACTAATGGAGCAACTTCAATATATGAGAAATTTATAATAGAAAAGGCTACTACAGGAGCACTTGGTTATATCTAATATTTACAAAACAAGAAAAGCTTACCGCACTCCCTGATCTATGGATCAAAATCTACCGCACTCCCAAATCTACGGATTAAAATCTTCTCAGTTGGATAGAGACTCGTGCTGATAACATGTTATAAAATAAATATAATAAACTGTAGAGAAAGAACAATAGAGGGAGAGAACAAGTTAAGAGAGGGAAAGAAAGAATTAATCTTTATTATTTCTGCAGAGACTGCTCTTCATTTATAGAGGAGATGGATACAAAGATAAGAATAAATAATGATAATATCTAACTATAATAATATCTAACTAAATATTATCTCTGAACAGTTGATTTCTTGTATAACTCTTCTGACTTATGGACATCCACATTAAATATTTATAACAGTTAAGAACATTTTATATTAATTATTTTATTGAATTGTATGTCACGAATCATTGTATGGAAACAATAAAAGATAGAGACAAACACTAATAAGATTTAGAAGGCTTTTTTACCTTTGGTAATTAACTGAATGCACAATGCATAAAATTAAAAAGATTTTACCCCGTTGAAGAAAAAATCAAATTCATCTTTCCATTGTTCATTCATAAGTTTATTTAATGATTTCTTTTCTTCAATATATGTCTATCTTTTTCCATTTTTCTTCAAGGAAAAAAATGAATTTCTTATACTTGGACTCAAACAAATTAGTGTAATTAATCATGGTTTATTCTTCTTAAACTTATTTTAAGGAAAACATTTTGGATCAAGAGTAACGATACCCTTACATTTCTTGTCTCCAACCCATCAATATTAAACTTTTGATTGTTACTTACAAAATTAAGACAACTTTTAAACGCACATACAACTTTGATGCTACTTAAATCCATTTAATTCACGATACATGCAGAAATATACTTGATAGAGTGAAAAACAATCATAATAAGAATAATCAACCTATGTTTTTAATAGAGTGAAATTAACCCAACTAAATCTTTTTAGTAATTTCACTCTATTGGCACAATGCATAATTTCACACGCTACCGAAACCCTAAATTAACCTATCTTTCAGCACGGATTGTCTTCAAAATTGTAATGTTGTAATATTTTTTTCCCCCTTTTCCAATTTACAGTATTATATCATCTATTCCTATCAATTCATGTAATACTCCTATCCTGATAAAATCATCTAAACATCAATCTTATGTCCTTTAGAGGAAGTAGCGGTTATGCTTTTCACGCTTGACCTGTTTAGATATTTTTGTTTAAAAAAAAATCTAATTTTCATCATGTACATGAGTTTTCATTATTTTTATATAAAGAAAAAAGATTTTTCCTCATCAGATGAATATTTATTATGTGTTTAAGAGTTTCTTACTAGCTGAACACATGCTTGCGTCGGTATGACATGGTGATTCAATTACTGAAACAAAAAAATATAAAACAAAAAAAAACAAAAGGAAAATTAAAGCACTACCTTCCTATCTAAAATTGTATTGTTGGATTAATTTTTGAGATAGGTGGCGTCACAAGTTGATATTGTTTCAATTAGAGAAGCCCATAGTTGTAACTCCAACGTTCACCCTTTGGTAATGTAATTAACAAAGCATGTTTGTTTCAAAATCTGACTGAGGACGCAGTTATATAAAATGTACTCTGTTCTTCTTAAAAAATAGTCAATTTAATTGACATAAAACAGTACAACAGAGAAGACTATTTTATTTACTCTTTTTTTTAAGAGAGAGGGAATACAATTTTTAAGAAAATTCCAATTGAGCATAACTGAATCTCACCAATTCCTCATCTAAATTTGGTTTTTTTTTGTCCCTCAAAAGTCATAATCTTTTGCTAATATTCGGTTATACTTATATGATCCACCTTAATGATAAATTTCTCACGCGAACACTCAATAATTAACAATGCTCAGCTTAATTTAGTTAAACATTGCATAGTTGTTTGGAATTTTAAATCGATTAGTTATTTCAAAATGTAGCTAGATTTTAAGAGGATGCTAAATAATGCAACAATCTTATCTCCTCACGTATTCTTTCTCATATTCTTTTAAGCAACATTACAAAAATTTATCACTACAGGTTGTTACTTGTTGAGAACATTGTATCATGTTTCTGTTTTTGTAAAAGAACTACGTGTTTCTGTAACCTAACCAAAAAAAAAAACATGTTTGAAAGCTCTATGGCCTATTAGTCCTGGTAAAACATCCATGGGTTTTATAAATATGATGACTATGAGTGGGGATAGGTTCAACGTTAAACTCTTACTTCTAAGCATACGTACAGTAGTGATATACTCTTTCATAGTTTCATATACTCAAAAAAATGTCTCCCATGTTCTTTTGGGCGCTCTTCGTCTTCTGCATTTCATCCCCATGTCTCCATGCAGTCAAAGAGGAGAATTGTAAGCTTTATATAGTCCAAATGGACTCCGAGCAAATGCCAAAAGTATTCTCCGAAAACTCACTTGGCACTCATCCATCGTTGAGAGTTTGAAACCCGGCGAAAAGGTGGTCTACACCTACTCTCAGGCCATCAATGGGTTTTCAGCAATGCTTTGCCCGCAAGATCTGGATGCTCTTAAAAAGTTTTCAGGCTATGTTTCAACCACCGAAAGCCGACGGATCAAATTGCAGACCACAAGGTCCCCCAATTTTCTTGGTCTAAATCAAAACATTGGGCTTTGGCCACTTTCTGGATACGGACATGATAGCATCATTGGAATAGTCGATTCCGGGATATGGCCTGAGAAACCAAGTTTCTCTGATCGTGGAATGTCGGAAATCCCTTCCCGCTGGAAAGGGGAGTGCGAAAACGCGACCGACTTCAATTCTACAATGTGCAACAGGAAACTGATTGGGGCGCGACATTTCAGTAAAGGGATTTTCGCAGAGGATCCAGATGCCGAAATACCGATAAACTCTCCACGAGACACCATCGGACATGGCACGCATTGTGCTTCTATAAGTTCCGGGGGATACGTAGAAAGTGCAGCTTATGGCGGATACGGATTGGGAGTCGCAAGAGGCGCGGCTCCGAATTCAAGGATTGCCGTGTACAAGGCATATTTCAGTGATGGAAAAGGATCAGAGATCGGTACTTCAGCTGACATCTTGGCAGCTATTAATCAGGCTATTGTGGATGGAGTGGATGTGCTGTCTTTGTCAATTGGGGAAGAAGGAACATTCTATGAAAAATTGCTTGCAGCCGGCACTTTCTCTGCCATGAGGAAAGGGATTTTTGTTTCAATGGCTGCAGGAAATGACGGCGATTTTCCGAATGATTTTCCGTGGGTACTCAACGTCGGCGCTGGTACCATTGACCGGGAATTCGGAGGAACCGTACTTTTATCTAATGGAGGAACAATTCAGGGGCAGTCCATGTATACAGGGGAAGCTTTATTAAGTGAAATTCCTCTCATTGATTTGAAGACATGCCAAGATGCGCATGAGGTACACAAATACAGGAGCAAGATTGTTGTTTGCCAGCCACAGGGGAACTTATCCATAGATGAGCTGAGGGATCTGGTTTTCATGGTGAAAGGAGTCAGGGGAGCAGTCTTCATTGCAAATTTCATTGATTATGACGATGTGATTAAAACTCGTTATCCAGCCCTCTTCGTCACTCCCCGTGACGGGAAAACCATATTAGAATACACGCGAACCAGTCCCAATCCAACAGCTCGAATGGTATTTGGAGAGACGAGAATCGACACCAAACCTTCTCCCGAAGTAGCCGGCTTTAGCTCCAAAGGTCCATCTCTCAACTGCCCTCTTGTGTTGAAACCTGATATCTTAGCTCCTGGAGAAAACATTCTTGTTTCTTGGAGTCCATACTATTGGGCGGGAGACGTTGAGTCCATGGAAACATACGGTTGGTTCAGGTTTAGTAGTGGTACCTCAATGGCTGCTCCTCATGCCGCAGGGATTGGGGCTATGTTAAGAGTGGCGCACCCCGATTGGAGCCCGGCTGCAATTAGGTCAGCCATGTTAACCACGGCTGATGTTGTCGATAATATCGGCGAGCCAATCAAAGATGTTGAATCGGGTGGCCGGAATGCCAACCCTTTTGAAATGGGTTGTGGCCACCTCAACCCGAACAGAGCAGTTGATCCCGGCCTGATCTACAATGCATCTGCGCAGGATTATATCAATCTGTTGTGTGCTATGAACGACATCAGGGAACAAATCTTTGCCGTTGTGGGATCGTTCGGCTTCGATTGTGGAAACTCCTCATCCGATTTGAATTATCCATCGTTCATGGTGCTATATGAACCCGATGACGGAGTCGATTCCCTGATTTGGGAGTTCAAGAGGAGGGTCACAAACGTGGTCGATGGCGGTTCCAGGTATAAAGCTTTCGTGACAGCACCGAAAGATTCCAACGTTACCGTCTCACCTAATTTCTTGGAGTTCAACAGCAAGAATGAAGAACAAACTTATACGCTGATCCTTAGGTATGCAGGGGCTAAGAATGGAACGGTAACATTTGGTCACTTAAAATGGGCGCAAGAGAACGGTAATCACACCGTTTCAAGTCTAATTGCTATCAGCCAAAAGAACTACCGATCTGGATAAAATTTCATTTGGCATTTTCTTAATCTTCTGCATTTATGCTTTATATTATATGATTTACATGTTACTGTATTTTTGTTGCATTATACGTCACGAATCATGACTCCTACTTGATGATGATCATGTGTTCTGTTTGGGGTAAAGATTTGACTACTTTAGATCATAAATTTATGTATGTGTTGCTTCTGCTTCAAGCTCTTCAACAGTCATAAAATTTATATATTATTGCAAGTCAATAATGTTCAGCTCCAGATTATTCATCTAAATTCTGTTTCCAAGCACAAACAAAATTAAGTGGATAAGTAATAGGAAGTTTGGCCTTTTGATTTGATATGAAACTCTGAACCATCTATAAATCATCGAAGATATCCATAAATCATTAAGGCTCTGTTTGGTTGGATTGAATTGGACCCACCAATTCCAATTCTTGTGTTTCGCACATAAAAATAAAAGTGAAAGAATTGCAATTATAATTCAAGATATGGCTCAATTCTTTATTTTCAATTCTTTTGAGAGAGCAAATAATTACAATTCGAATCTTATGGACTTCTTTTCAAAAAGAAACTTCGCGGGTCAAAGAACGGGTCGTTTTCGGCTATAAGAAAACAGGTTGCTCCTTCCCTTTTGATATGTGTGTGTTTTTTTTATATTTTTTATATTTTATTTTTTTCCCCCCTTCCTTTAGGGCCCAGCCCCAGCACAAATTTTGGTTTTCTTTTTCCCCTAAGTTAAGCCCCACGATTTTTTTTCTTTTCCTTCTTCATCGCATTCCTTGTTTTTCTTATCTTTTTATTTGATAAATATAGTATCTATCAATTTGGAAGTTATCAAGAGGCTATCTATCTATCAAAATATTTTTTTAAATATATATATATATATATATAAAACTAGACCTAGACTTTATTGAACAAAATTAATAAGTGATTGTATTAGTTTGCGTTAATTGTTTTTAGGAAAATGATATGTATAATTATATTTTTATCTTTAATTAATAAGTACAAATGTTTATTGAGGGGTTTGTATATGTCTTTTTATAAATCACTATCCCATTTAAGTATAAATTCTCGTTATCCTATCATTGTTGTTCTTTTAATTAATTATGTGATGGCACTGTAAATATGTAAAATTTTCATAAATTTGTTTAAAGAAGTCATTCCTCAAGTGCAAGTATGTTATATTTAAATAAATTTTGAACTATACATGACTTTTTTTTAACTACAAGTTATGTAAGTTTTCATTAATTTTAGCTATATATTTTCATCTATAATTATATACTAAAATATATATAATGTTATGCATATTTAAATTAATTTCAATCCATATATCAATGAATACAACAACATAAACTGACTTTATATTGAATACAATATTTCCTAATGCAAAATACCAAAAATTCAAAAAGAATATTAAAAAATTAAAAAAAAATAAGAGAGGAAAACAATGGATTACTACTTTTTACTTGTTTTTATATTAATAATTCTTACATAATTATTTTTTTCCATACCTGTTTATACACAATAAATTAAAATTTTAATATAATACATTAAATAAAAAATTGTATTTTCTTAAGAAAAATAAGTAAAAGTTGTATGAATTAGATAACACGTAAGTAAAACTCATTCCAATATATATGAACATGATAATTTTTATTTTATTTTATATATGTATGTGATAAATTAGTTTGGTATAAGAAATTAAGTAATTTTTTTATTCTTTTTTCGAATTGAAGTATAAATTATATATAATAATTAGATTATAACAAACTAATTCTAATTCTAGTGAATATAAATTTCAACGCATCCAAACACAAAAATTGGTATTAGAACAACAATTCTTAATAATTCTTAAGATCTCCCAAACAAAGAAATTAAGATTGAGTTACAATTTCAATATTACATTTTCAATTCAATATAATTATAATCTTAATTCAATTCCAATTCAATATAACCAAACCAAACGGAGCCTAATGAATTTAGGGACGTTGAGGAGGAGAAGGAGAAAGAGGAGGAGGAGGAGAGTGACGATGACGAACAAAGAATTGACAACCCATCTTGCAACGTTCCAAAGAACGATGACAGCGTTCACAACAGCACCAGAATTTTTTCCCTGCTATCATCCTTTCCTTGCATTGAACCATTACCCTGTTCTCTTCCTTTGCCTCTACAACCCTTGCTTCACCTACAAAAATAACAACATTTTGGAAACTCAGAAATCGTTGTCATGCATAATGTTCTCTCTCCCAAAATCCGCAATCAGCGTTAGCTAATAGGTCATCATTTAATAATGTGTTTCAGGTACATTGGAATTAAAATAATTATTATATATAGCAAAAAAACCATGGACAAGTTTTTTGTTTTTACATAACATGCTCCTCAATTAATTGTATAGAATTGACACGGTTATGCAAATAAAAATTAAAAAAAATTAAATTAAGAGAACATGGTGGAAATTTACATGGGTAAGAAGAACTTAGAAGAAACAAGAAGATGGCATCAAAAAATAGAGCCAAGTACAAAACATTGCATTTGGAAGACGCCATGTCTAAAGGAGAAATTGGACACACTGCAAATCTTCTATGCAATTGGCCCCCAAACACTACGGTATTTAAAGAGAAGCTTGAAAAGCTAATAAAAATTTTCAGTTAACAATTGTAAAATGTCATTATTGATGATGGGATTGAGGAAATCTTGACTCTTGGTCAAAGACGACATGGATTGTTACTGATTATTTATTGAACCATTGACTAATTCTCTTCGATCCTTCTCCCCATTTCCCTTGTATTTTTTTTACCAATGAAAGAGACTGGATCATTTAGAGAAATAGTTAGCCTCACCTCATCTTAAACGGATTCGATTCTTTTGATTTCTTGAAAGTCGACTTAGAATTTTACTATGAAATTAGAATTACATTATCTGAAAATACAATCATGTATGAGAGATCCCATCGAAATAATTGCACACAACTAAAAGATTCACTTTTTTTTTTCAATAAATAATGTTAAACTAATACTCTCGAAACTATGATAAGTATACTACTAGCTCAATTGAATAGACAGGGCACCATGGGATGGAAGAGTAAAATAATAATGTTATATAGTCTAAAAATTATTATCATCTTTATTACATTAAAATTTATGTTTACAGTTGATTAACTCAAACCAAAAAAAAAAAACACGCGCACACATACACACATGCACACACACACTGCATACTTGTTATTTTACTGAACCGGTAGAATTCTATTTTTGTGATAACAAATCAGATAAACAATAACTTAATTAGAATTTTATCTTTGCGATAACAAATCATATAAACTTTAACTTAATTAATCATGATTGTAAATGAATGCCACATCCATTTCTTCAAATCAATATTCTACATATATTTTATATTTTTATTTCATTTATTCCTACCGTATTATAATTGCTGAATAATTTTTAGAGTTTGGTAGTCCTTCCACTTATTTGTTTGCTTAAGTATTTTTCTTGCAATTCATTGATTTTGTAGTCACTCATTTAATTTAGTCAAAAGCATTTTCCAATAAACATTATCCCCTATTTATTTTATTATTATTATCTCACTTATTTACCATAATCTTCAATTTAATGATGATAAATTACTCACTTATATCTAAATTTATAATAATAAGTGGTCCTTTATTATCAAACAATATGATGACCCTTCGATCTTCCTTTCATTAATTTTTGTTTTTAAGATAACAAAAAAATTATTTCTCATTATTAGGTAAATTCAATCTATCTAAAAACGGTTTCGATGCTTTTAACCATTAATTTTTATTTTTAAAATTACAAAAATAATTTCTCATTATTAGGTGAATTTGATTGGTCTAAAAACGGTTGTGGTGATTCTACCCTCTTTGAATTTCTTAATGTCTTTTCTTCTTCTCTTGTTTTCTTTGAATTTCATAGGTTCTTCACTAGTAGTTTAGATTGTTCCATAACTTAAAAGAATATTAAAAGTCATGTAACATAAATTGATATATATATATATATATAATTCTAAAGGGTGTAAGGTTTAGTCACTTCTCTTTTTTTCTTTTAAGTCGTTACTTTTAACTCTCAATCTCAAGTCTGCCGGAGGCAATCACCTTTCATTGTTCATCTCCATCTTTTTCTTCTTGATTTTTTTCCCCTCAGATTTTGTTTTTATTTTTGATTTTTTTTCTTCCTTTTTTAGTTGTTCTACTTTGGTAATATAGAAACTTGATTTTGGTTTATTTCTTGCTGGTCTTGTCCCCCTTTTTTCTCACAATCAAAATAATATGTGTCACTTCTATTGAAATAAGAAGTAACATAATTTATTGATATCATTTTGTTTAATGTATAAGTATATATTTTTGGCAATTGATAAATACAGAGCTATTTTGGTATATAAATAGCAAAATTTTTTAATTATTGATAATATCCTTATGTAAAATTTTAACACATCTACTCTAATTAATTTCCTTTATTTTTTCCTTCTTTTATGGATTAGGTAAAAAAAAGCCAATCTCCTATTACAAGTTGAAAAAAACACTTGCATAACTTTTTTCTTCCCCAAATTAAGAAAAAAAACCTTGTAACTATTTTTCCTTCTCCAAATTCAATAGAAAAACTTGTGCAGTTTTTTTTTCTTCTTATTTCCTGTGATCTTGAAATTTGAATCAAAACTTCCAGCACTGAATAAAAAAAAAAAAAACTACTGAAACATGATATTTGAGAATTTTCATAGAGGAAAAAAATCATCAACATAAAATATCACCTATCAATTTTTTATTTGCTGGGAACCCAATTGTGTATTTTATGTTGATATTTTTTTTGTTCTCCACGTAATTCTCATGTATCATGTTTCAATAGTTTTTTTTATTCTGTGTTGGAAGTTTTAATTCAAGGACACAGGAAACAAGAAGAAAAAAAAAAGTTATGCAAGTTTTTTTAAAAAAAAGAATTTGGAGAATGAAAAAAAATTAGGCAAGTTCATTTTTTTTATTGAAAAAGAAGATTAGCTTTTACATTATCCATAAATGAAAGAGAGAAATGAGAAAATAAAGGAAATCAATTACATTAGATGTGTTAGATTTTATATAAGCGTATTTTTGGTAATTAAAAAAATTTTGCTCTTTATATAACAAAATAGCTCTGTATTTATCAATTGCCTATATTTTTTAATACTGATAAATTAGTTAACATATTTTGTAGATTAATCTATTGAACAGGAATGTTATTTACCATTTTTAATATTAATTTTTTTTTCTTTTTATATATTCAGCATTGCGTAACCACACATAGTTTACGCGCGAAGCGCGTCTAATCCATCTAGTCAATATATATTATAATTGGGGAATGTGAGATTGTTTTTGGTAGTCCTCTCACATGATTCTCACATGCATTTTTATGTTTTGCTTTAGATTAGTTTTTTTTTTCTTAAACTAAAAATGTTGTATCTTTTCGTTTTCTTTTTCATATTTTCTTTCCTATTATTTTTCAACATTTATTGTGATCTTTTATTACAATTATTAAAATTTTCATCTCTTTTTATCTTTTATTGTTTACTATGTGTGTTATACGTTTTATCTCCCTTCATCTTCTGTTCTTTACTATCGGTATTAAATTTCATATATATTTCTCTTCTATTATTTAATAATGTTATACTTTTCATCTCCCCTTATCTCTTGTAACAACTTGTTCATGTGTCCTTTTGTTTACTTTTAGCATTCAATACAATAATTTTTATTAAAACTATTTAAGCACCACAATTCTAATTCATCTTTTATGTTGGTTTTCTCTCTTCTCCATTTACTCTTATCCTGATTTTCTTTCTTTTTTTTTCTCTTCTTTTGCAAGTTGTTTAAATATGTTTTAACAATTTGATTGAAAGTTCAAGTTAAGTTGAATTCAAATAGAAGTAGGGATGCTAATGTTTGGCTATTCAGATAACATAAAATTAAGTTGCAGAATCCAAAAGCAGTGAACGAAGGTTGGAATAAAAAAATTTAAATTGTTCTTGAATCATAGACGTCTTCTTGATTTCAGATAAAATTTAATACGGTTAATACTTTACAATTCGTAAGCAATAGTTTTTTATTTATTTTTTCACCAAACATTTTGAAACCATGACTCTCTTTCGCATATTCAGGTTATTGAATTTATTGTTGTAAATATCAAATCAAATTTATGTGAGAAAAATTATACACAGTTTCATTTTGATCATCTATATTATTGTAACAAAATGGATTATGAAAATAAGATAATGGAGCATTCTTTTCTTGTTTCTCTATTCAAATTTAAGCATATCATAATTACATATTTAGAGTTAACATATATTATTATACTCGTGTTGTTTCATATTGCAGCACGCGTGAAGCGCGTTCGATCCATCTAGTTATATTATAATTGCAGAATAACTTTTAGATTTGGTAGTCCTCCACTTTAATTACCACATATCATTTAAATAAATTTTTGTTATTTGAACCATTTCACCTCCTTCATTTATCTCTACTTTAATTACCACACAACATTTAAATTTAATTTTATTATCACAATTCCATTATCTCCTTCATTACATCATTTGATCTTATGACAACCGTTATACCCATTTTAGTTTCCCGTCAAAGTTCACCTTCCCTACTTCTCATCCTTGATATCCTTCCCTTATTAATTTTATATTTTATATTTTATTTTTAAGATTAACACAAATTTATTGTTTATTAGTAGATGAATTCGAACGGTCAAATAACTGAATTTTGATAATTCTAATCACTCCAAATTTTTCAATGTCTTTTACTTTTCTTGTCTTCTTTGAATTGAATGTTTTTGTTTAATGAGAATTTAAACAAAGGTTGCATAGCTTAAGAGAATAGTAAAAAGTTTGAATATTGAATTCACAGATATATGATTCTCAATTGCAAAAGTTTTATCACTTTTCTTGAATTTTTTTCTTCAAAGCATTTATCCTAACCCTCTTTAATCTCTCTCTCCATCACAAGTTCCTTGAGGAAAGTACCTAAATTATTATATTCTTTTCAGTTTATTTTTATTTGCATCTTTGATATTTCATGTATTAGTTGTTGTTTTTCTTTTTTTATTAGAATACTACGCCTCACTTATGTTCAAATTCAGAAATGACCATTTTAGATGATATATATAGTTTTGCACGTGGTAAAGTTTGTAAATTAAAATTTATTATTGATATTTTTTAAATACAATAACAACAAAGTAACTCGTAATTTTTTGTTATTTAAATTTCAAGAAGCATATGGTGAATGGTCCATGTGGGGACATGAATAAAAAAATGCTCGCATGCGCGATGGGACTTGACGAAATATGTATCCAAAACAATTCTTAGAATCCACAGTTCATGCCGAAGGTAGCTATGCATTTTATCGACGCAGGAACAATGGACATAAAGTTTCTATTGCAGGTCGAGAATTGGACAATCGTTGGGTTGTCCCTTACGACCCTTACTTGCTTGCCACCTTCAACTGCCACTTTAATGTGGAAATATGTTCAGGGCTGCAGATGATCAAATACATGTACAAGTATGTTTTCAAAGGCCATGCGAAGGTTAGTTATA